TCAGAAGTTCTTGACTCTACTATTACTGGAATGAAATGAGAAAGGACAAATTAGAATTTCTTTTTCAAACTATATCTCATTTCGTAATGGACAGGGAATTAAAAAAAAAATGAAAACGTTAGGTTTGTACGTCGTGTTTCAAAATTTTATTGGATATTAATGTTCAAAAGGTATTCAGATATTAGTATTAGTCAGTTTAACAAAACGAATCTTTGAGACATTTAATATAAAACAAAGGAAACTGATATATTTCGTATATAAAAGAGAACGACTTTACCTTATAATTAATGATTCTTTGTTAAGGTTTTTCGAAAGAAAACAAAAAACCTTTTTTGACTATCTAGTTCATTCTTAAATTTGAGTTCTACCATTACATACTTTTATAATATCTGTCATCTTTATCTTATTTTAAAATTCGAGGCAAGAAACATTTTCCAACATTAAAATAATGTTGATAATTGTTTTCTAAGTGTTTTTCGGTTTTTTAAATCCATGTTTTTAAGAGACTCAAAATATGTTTGGGTTAACAAACAAGCAGCGATTTTTAGAATCATCCATTTGTTTCAAGTTATAAGTTAAATATTCTTATATTTAACTTTGGAAACACAAAGAAAAATCACGTTTAATTACCATAAAATTATTTGCCATTTTGTATCAGAGATTGAATGGTGCCAAAAAAGGCGATAGATGCTTTTATCTGGTAGATCAATTAGAAACCTTTCCTTTGTGTGTATTTATGCGAATTCGATGGGGGAATTGGAAGCGGGGCTACAGCAGCGCCGCGTTGTGGACACACTCGGTCGTAAGCTGTCGGCCCGTGTAATCGAAAAGAAGAGCTTCGGCGGCATTACACGAATGCCCGAAAATGCCCGGGAAATTGATCTTCAACCAATGGTTTTAATGGACCAATGAGAAGCGAGAATGCGGGGTTGTAGCAGACCGTTGGAGCTCAATGTTATAATTAATTGGAGAAGTAGGGATTTTTTCCCTTTTTCTTTTTTTTCTCTCCGTTTTTTTCTTTCTCAAAAAACATCTGAAAGATTGGGAAATACATTATTTTTTAATACGGATGTGCGTATAAGTGTTATTTTTCCTGTTTCCTTTGAGTTTGATTTTCTTTGTCTTCTCAGTGGAAAGAGGGAGGAGGGGGGAGTTAAAGAAAGGATATTTGCTATTTTCGATGACGATTTAGAATTTGTTGCTTAAATATTTGCTGAAAAAACAAAATGCGCATTGTTTTCTCATTTTCGTAAGGAAATTATTGCTTTGAAAAATATAAGTCTAACAAGAACATAAATTTTCCAAATTAAAAAAAACCCCGCAGATTTTACATTTTTAATAACAAAACATGTTATATAACATTGCCAATATTTAATCACAGATGAACATTTTTTTGTCATAGTGTCCTAGAGCCATATTTCACTTTCCGAATCACAACATTTTTCAGTTATTTCTTAAAATCTCCATTTTCTCATTATAGAAGTACATTATATTCTTAATTAGAACGAAAAAATTACTTAAATTATTCATCAAACAGTTCTACTGGAAAAGTATGATATCGGTGAATTAGTATTTCGTAATAGGTCTTATTGTAAATTATTGTATAACAATGGTTTTACTTACATATTTTATTATCTTAAAGAAAAAATACATATAACTTATGATAAAGAAAAAATAAATGGTTAATTTAATTATTTTTACAAAATAATAAATCATTTAGATCTGGCAATCTGTGAAAGAAAAAAAGTTCAGTTCTATATCCTTTTAAGAAAGTGTATTTATCTCATTTTTAAGCTAAGATGTATTATAACTCAAACGTGTAAAATTGTTGATCGAGGGCTATTGTCGAGGGATCTCACAATTTTGAAATATGGTGAAGTGACGAGGGCAACACCTTAGCTGGCACCCCACTCTCCTAACTTTCAAACTACTCGTGAGAGTTTTGAGCCTCCTTATACTTAACGTGTATTAGTCCTTGTACAAGACGGGTACAAGGTGCCACTTGTACACGAGTGGCATTAAGGTACGAACTCCCGACACAGAAGTCACGAGTCCACGACATGCATTTCGAATTCAAAGTTGTTACAAAGCAGTTAAAGCTTATCGCGAGTATAATGCGACCTGGGAAAAACACCGAATGCACTCTGCAGTCTAGATTCGGTTACATAACGAAGAGATAATGTTCAGTAAAAATGCGTGCCTTTAGATGAACTATAAAAATTTATTCGAAAATATTTTTTTTTCACTTGTAAATAACAGAATATCTAAATAAATAATTGCTCCTACATTCAGATAGTAAAAAAATCTATGAAAAATGTAGTATAAAAGCTATAAAACAAAAAATATGTGTTTTCGCGTATTTCCAAAGTAATTTAAGTAATTTAATTAATTTTAAGTAATTTTTCAGTAATTTTAATTTAATTTAATAAATATGCCAAAAATTAAATTTTGATCAAGCATATTCATTTGACGCATTTTAAGGTAATATTTATATAGTGTTTTTAACGGCAAATAGCCATTATCATACTGCTAAAGTGTGAGTGAAGCATTTAAAGATTAATTTGGTACCTTAATAAAGTTTTGAAAATATGATAGTTTTTGGATCTTTCTGTACTCGTAAATTCTAACTTCTCTTCCATAAATTTTTGCTAACTGAATAAAATTTTAATCAGTTTTCCCTACGTATTAAAATTTTACTCCGAACTTATAATAAATTTGCATTATTATATTTTACTGTTCATTGCTCTGTGGATCATACTTCGTTTAATCCTATTTCGAGTATACAATAATTTAGATTATTGCAACATTATTAATTGCCCCATGGATATTAAAAAGTTAAATTTCGAGGAATGAAGAAAAAAGTCTTATAAATATAAAAAAAGGAAAATTTTTTCAGTATTTTACCTGCTATCGAATAGACATTTGTTTTAGCATAAAAAATGCCTTCTATTTTATAATACTGTAGTCTCAACTGAGGTAGATTTGTTATTGCATTTTAAATCAGGGTTATTATTTTCATTTTAATGCAATTGTTTATAATAACTAAGAGTTTCCCAACCATTATGGTATTCTTATACTTTAATAATAAGTATTAAGAATATAATAAGTAAAACCAATAGAATGTATTTCTGAATTGCATGACACCCTTTATTTATAAAAAATGCACATGTTATATGTTTTATTCAAATTAAAAGTAATATGTTCAAGATAACTAAACGACACACAGATTTCTTCTTTTTCTTATTATTTTGGTCCTTTTAAAACATAAACACAATACAATCGTATTCTCAACTATTATGTGGCACATCGAATTGATTGTACACGTTTTGAATGCGTAAGTAAGAGGGACACACATACAAGCACCAACTATATTGGTAATCTTAATCTGAAATTATTGATACGGAAAGACCATTTAAGGTATCCGATTACGTTCGGAACCGTGATTTTAAAAATGCGCATAAATGGATAATTTTCATAATATTTAGTGTCACTTAGATTAGAATACACGTATAAAATTGTTTTGAGGACATTTTGACAAAAAATATTATTTAAATACAATATTTCGGCAAAAAATTAACTTAGAATAACCTTTTTTCAAAATGTTCTCCTTTTGTGAAAAATGCTTCTATTATAATAATATTTTGCCTGTTTATAGCTCAGATCTCTATACAGAGGCTCAACTATGATTTTTGAAAAATTCATATTATTTTCAGAGTTACCACCAATTGAAATAATTATCGGCGTTTTTTTCTTAACATTTCTCCCCTCTGTTGTATTTAAATATGGATAAATCCACTTCTAAGTTATATATTTCAAAAATTCTAGTTCAGCCTCTGCACAGAGGCCTGAGCTATATACAGGCAAAATATTATTATAAAAGAAGCATTTTTCACAAAAGGAGAATATTTTGAAAATGGGTCATTCTATGTTCATTTTTTTGTCAAAATATTGTACTTAAACAATTTTTTATTGTAATACTATTCTTAAAACAATTTTATATACATTTTTCTAATTTAAGTGACACTAAATATCATAAATATCATCCATTTATACTCTTTTGCAAAATCCCGGTTCCGAACGTAGTCGGATACCTTAAATATCATATCTTTTAAAAGCAAATTTTTTTTTTAAATAAATTCATTTTCATGTTAGATATAATCATTCATTTCAATTATCTCTGAAAAGTAATTATGAACCTTAAAGGCGAATGCGATGTAACAGTTCATATTGTTTGTAGTTTCATGATGAGAGGCATTGCAAAATTTTTATAAAACCTTTCTAGAATGGTGAGAAAAAGAATTCCACGGCGAAAACGGACAAGATATCTCTCCCCATGATTGAGTCGTTTATGTCAGAGGCTAAAAGGGAGGCGGTCGAAATCCCAGCCCAAAAACGACGCAATCGTTTGTCATCCTTTCCAACAATCCCCACAAGAGTCCTTAATTCGTGTTCTTGTGCCCCGCTCTTGGATTGAACACTGATTGCGATAAGGTTAATGGACTCAGACCTCCCTCTGGGACCATCGTTCACTGCAATATGTGTTTTACAAGCGTTTCTTTCACTTCTGTTTTTTGAACTTCTTCGGTGGTTTATTCAAATGTTTCAATAGCTTTTTCCACTTTAAAAGTGCCACACGGTTTATAACAATTAATATTATAATTTAATATTTTGTGTTTGAAAACTTCTGAATGAGGATATTATGTTTTCTGATAATACTATAATTTGATTTATTTGTTATTTGATTTTATTCATTCCCTACTATTAGTTCACTCTATCCCTATATTATATATATATATCTTGTTCAAATTTTCAATCGTTGATAATATACTCTCTATTCATCCATTCAAGTTCAAATACATTTTTTAAGCTTGTATGGGAGGACACTTGATGTTAATTCAGTTTTTTCAAATATTAATTCATTAACTAAATTAAAAAATGAATAAATAGTAACAAACAAAATAAGTCCAAAAGCATATATAGAAAGGGAAATTGTTCCTTGTGTCTCTGTAGCGTGATGGACAGTGTGTGTGCGTTGAACTTCTAATCCAAAGGTCGTGGATTCAAATCCCACCTGGGATGGCCCAATTTCTGAGAATGAAATTTCTTATTTTACTATACTATTTTATTAGAATAATTAAATTTAATTTATGAATAAGTAGTAACAAACAAACAAAAAATAGTCCAACATCGTATATAGAAAGAAAAATTGCAAAGAAAACCCCTTTCTATTTTGTTACTTAATATTGTAAATCTATGATATGTGTATACATATTTATATTAATTGTAACTATTTAATAAAAAGTAACTCAAAGAAAAATTTTCTTTGTTGACTGAAGTAGGAATTAAATTAATTTTTTTTATATTACTTGTTTTTTTTTTATTAAAATCGCACTCTATAAGAGCGCTCTAAATATTCCATATGTCAAGCAAGAATGTTATTTCGTATATACTGCCCTTAGTAATGTATTATATCATTTATCTCTTAGCAGTAAGATATAAAAGGCAAAATTATGCTAGTCGTTAAATTAATTTTATAAACTTATGCTAGGCTTTCTGAATCCGTGATTTTGACGGATTTCAGACTCATGCGTAAAACTACAAAAATGATTACTATTATTCTTTTCCAATCTATGCTGACAACTATTGGTGTGATGAGATCAATATATACCCTTATTTATTTCACCATCAGCCCTATATTTTCAGAATTCTGCCTGATGTATACTCATCTCTACGGATACAAATCAAAATCATGGGTAAGCCCATTTCAGAACAAATAGCAATAAACCCGGATTTTTTCAAAAAAAAATATTTTTCTGGTGACTTAATAAAATAACTTTGATACTAAATGAGAACTATAATTCCACGTAGATATCTTTTGATGACTTTGGATCCAATAACAACACGCCGCGGGAATGTAAATTGACAGTTGAATGTATGCAAGAAATGCACGGAATAACTGAATGGACAGTTAAAAGTTTGTATATTTGTGTTTATTTAAGCAATACTGACATACTTAATCAACTTTTTTATGTCTGTTATATATATAAGACTGTAAATATTTTTAAATTAAACTAAGCGCTTTTTTTAAATACCTGGTACACTGCATCGATCAATTTGACGAGTATAGGTAAAACAGGTATACAAAAATGTGTTCGCAAACCTAATGTTAATCATATACTAAATAATTTCGAAAGAATGAAAAAGTATCAGAAAGTATAAATTCAAGCTATTGAATATATGTATTTGTTGTTCAGTTACTTAATCCAACCAATCATTAACTTCATTAAATTTCACATGTTAAAAATCTTAAACGTTAAAAGTATTGAGAAAAATATTCTTTAAACGAATTCAAAAAATGAATTTCATTTCATCTCTGAAATATAACTATACAAAAAACCTTAAAAATTTTGAAAAATGACAATATGTCACATGTGAAATTAGAAGAAACAGTATCAGAGTAAATGTTTCAAAGCAAGACCGCGAATAATAAAGGAGCATAGACAGAAAATAAAATAGAAGCTTATGATTTTTACACATATCATTGGCTAATCGAATGCGTGCTATTGCAGTCTTATTGTATTAATGTAAAATACAATTTGGTCTCATGTAATGTTACTGTTTAATTTGCATAGTTTAATTTCAATAATTATTACAATATTTTAGACTAAATTTCCAATCTAATATATATATAAAGAACTTTTTATTCATTCACATCTAATTTTAATATATATACATATGTATCTTTCCTCTACCCTTCTTCTTTTAGTACCAGTTTTAAAATGGCCAAATTTCCTATCTTGTGAATTTTTAGTTTCATTGCTTTGGTTCATAAGAATTTTTACTTTACACATACACTCAAAGTTCATATTTATTTTCTTCAAATTATTAACCATAGAAACTGAACAAAAATTTTAATAAGTTTTCAGAACTTTAAAGTGATAGAATTTTTTTAAAAGAAAATATTTTCTCTTTAAGTGCTGACTATATATATACATATATATATACTTTTATTCTAGTGATATTTATGCATTTGTGTGATAATTATCTATTTACATTTATTGTACCATTCAAAATATGTCATTTTAATTGTTTATAGCATGAAATAAGGAAATAAATTCCACATTATCTGTGTAGATTAATTTATTTAACCACTCTTTATTTTCAAAAGAAATCATTTCATAGGCACAAAAATTACTGAAAGTAGATTAATTTAAACTAAATTTTTATTTTATGGGGTTTTTTAACTCTCTTTCAATTTATATAGACTACATGAATTAAATGTAATGATTAAACTGAACTAAAATCAGTGACGCAACAGCCCATAAGGGCCAAGGCATACTGTGCCCAAATCAGTTTACGGGGCCTTGGGCGCTAAGAGGCATGAGCACATGTTCCGATCAGGTTGCCAGTCTGACGCGAACCCCTCTTTGTTTAGTTCCCAATCAAGCTTGGTACTCATTTTATCATCCCACTGAAGGGATGAAAGGCTGAGTTGACCTTGCCCAGCCCATGGTTTGAACCCTAGACCTGCGGCGCGGAAGCGCGATGCGCTACCACTAGACTACTGGGCGTCAGTGTAATAATTACAGCCTTAATAATACCTCCGTCTAATTTATTTTTTGTTGGATCTTACATTTTATCAGTTTTATATCTTTAGATGTAGTAGTGAAGAATATTTATTAGTTAATTTTATATGAAACTTCTTGAATAATTAAAATAAATTTTATATTAACCGTTTAAATGATAGTTTTCAACAGTTTGTGTTTTCGATGATAATTATTAATTTTTTTATCAGTATACAGTCATCAGTTATGTTTGAACGCAATGCGCGTGCAACATTGAATCTTAATTCATTAAAAATCTATATGATTAAGTGTTTTTTATTGTTTAACATTAAACTATTTTTTTTATTTATTAAATTGAAGTAATATGCTTTAGTCCCAAGATAAAAAAAAATGAAATCAAGCAGATAGTCAATGTAAAAAATGCATTGTACCGTTGTGTAGTTTTAGAAATTAAATATAGCAATATGGCTGAGGTAGTCTTAGATATAATGTAACGGATTCTAAATCAATATGGCTATCGTACCGTGTTTCATATATTCTGCCTGATACCTTATATTATGCATCATATTTCCACAAAGACTGTTAAGTAGCTGAGTTGATACTCGTTATATTTATCGATGCTCAAAGTCCTCCGGTTGGTGGGGAGCTATTGAGTATGGGATGCCAAACCAAGTGCTAAACTCGTCATTTGACTGAGGCTCAGAGTTATGAGGTATATTGAATTGCTAAAGGGTGGACATTTCAGTCGGGGAGTGAATGAGTGAGAGTTGGGATATATTTAGTGTCGCACAGTAGCGCACACAGGAATTTTTCAAGGGGGGTCCGTGGTCGAAAGTTCACCATTCTTGTGTCATGCTCCATTTGATTTTGTTGATTTTGGGGAATAAAACACAGTGAAAAACTAATTATTGAATAAATAATTAGCATTAGTTAATAAAATTAATCATTAATAACAAATACTTAATTAAATTTTACGTACTATATAGTTAGAATTATAGTCAATCGGAAAAAAATCAAGGTTTTTTTTGGGGAGGGGGTCCGAACCCCCAGGACCCCCTTGTGTGCGCCACTGGTGTCGCACCATAAAGCAACACGAGGGCTATTGGCAACTGACATTGTAATTTAGAACCATGGTCAAGTGACGATGATGACAACAGTGCTGAAGCCCATTTTCCGAACCTTCCCACCATGTAAATGGGAGGACTTTTTGAACTTCGACAGATTTAATGTGCATCAGCTAATCTGCACGGCTGGTTTTTCAGAGGCACGGGCTTTAACTGCTGATATGCCAGCCACCAGTTTGTGAGCATAACCACTAGGATACCACGGTCACTTCAGTTGGGCAAAATAGAAGTCGGAACTGGGCTGGAAACTTTTACAAACAAACAATGAAAAAATAACAATAATACATATATTTTTAATTTCATCTATTCGTCATTCTTGTGAATTGACTATGCGGGTGCTATGGAGCTATAAAAGAAAAATGATTGCGAATAAAACTATTTTATTTGTTTCATTTACATTTTTAAAATTATAATCCAGATTTTGTTTATCATATAGTAATGTACTTCTCCAAAAGCTATTGGCCACGGTAGCCTAGGGGTCAAGGTATCGGATCGTGGCTGGTTTGTCACAAGTTCGAGCCCAGTACCACTTAAGACTCACTGTGTAGGGAGCGAGGCATGTTAAATTTGTAGAGAGCTCAAACGTCCTCCAGTTAGTATGGTGTGGTAATTAGGAGAGGGGGCTGCCAGCTCAGGTGTCGTCCTCGTCTCTTGACCATGGTTCAAAATTACGAGGTCCGTCGCCAAAAGCCCTCGTGTAGCTGAACAGAGCGACGTTAATATTCACTCATTTACTCTCCAAAAGTTAGAGCTCCCCCAAGAAGCCTACATTCGTCGATTCTCTTACTCACCCAACATATCCTTTACCAATTAAACTTTGTATGAATAAGCAATTCCTCCCACTTTGAATCCAAAAGGAGCATTTCACAACACCTTAAACATTCGGTTCGGAATAGAAATAAGGAACAGAGAAAAGGGAAAAAGAGGGGGAAAGAGAATAATAAAAAAAACGTGCTAACTTCCAAAACCTCTTCCCATTGTCCGTCTATTTGGAGGCTTCCAATGACAAATGGATGCTTCCAGCAGCGAGAGGAAACGAACAACATCAAGTGGTGTTAAAGGAGGTAGGAGGGTCGGTGAAAAGCGATTTCAAAAGTCTTTCAAAGCGTTCTCCTTACACGGATTATAAGTTATCCAGGCGTTGGAGAGGGGAAGGAGCAATGCTCAGACTCATCAGCTTCCCAGGAGACTTTCTCCTCTAAGAAATGGATGGAGAATGCGGAAGAATAAAAGTCCCACTTTCTTCATTCGAGTGTCTTCCCTCCTACGAAAGTTCTTTCCTTTTTTTTGCTTTATTTCTTGGTGGCCCCCTTCTTGTTTTTCACTTTGCGTCTTTCTACTATTAATGATGCTGCCGAGACGTGACCATTATTTTCTCGGGTTTGGCTTT